TAAGCTGTTCTAAGTAAAGCTGCCTTTTGCAACTGACTGATGGTGAATTTGTCATTATTATTATTATATACATGATAATATGACATCATAGCTGCCAGTTCACTAGCTGACATTTGCCTTCATGTGCATCAAGTTCTTCTCAGAACTTAGGATGTCATAATGTATCAGCATGGTATATGTGTGGATCCAAGCAGTCTGGCCTTTTCTAACTGACAGATGGAAATTTTGTCAATACACATCCAAGAGTTTTTGGTATGATACCCAGTGTGCTGATAACCACTGGGACCACCATGGCTGGTTTATGCCATAAACTTTCACCTTTGATTTTCAGATCTTGATACTTTGTGATCTTCTCCAATTCTTTTGGTATTGCCACATTAATTATCCACAGTTTCTTCTTTTCAACCATAGTTAAATCTGGTGTATTATATGCCAAACTTTATCAGTTTGTATTCAAAAATCCCACCGTATTTTTACTTGTTCGTTTTCTATTACTTTTTCAACTCTATGTTCCCACCAATATTTCATTACTGGCACATGATACTTTTTACAGATGTTCCAGTGAATTATTTTGGCAAATGTGTAATGTCATTGTTTATCATCAGTTTGTGCAATCTTGTTACATGAGCTGCATCTATGAACTACAGTACTGTTTCTTCTGCTTCTTTCCACAATCTGCACTTTGAATCATCTGATGGTTTTTCAATTTTGGCCCCATTACTATGGTTGATCACAACTCAGCGAGATATTTAGATTTGATTTCATATTTTTATCCATCTATCAAGTCCTTCCCTAGGACCTGGGATAGGCAGATGTTGTTTGAAGATGTTAAAAGGTATCATTGCAAGATGTAACCTGTCCCAAGTAAAGCTGCCTTTTGCATTTGTCTGAGAATAATTTTATTAATGCTGATAGTGTTCAAGTGGTGATCCAGATATTTTGGGATTGCACCCAAGGCGCCTATTATTATTGCAATTATTTTTGAGGGTTTATATTTTTGCCATAATCATTCTACTTCTCTTTGTAGGTCTTTGTATTTTTTTATCCAGTTTTATCTCTTCTATTCTGCTGTCTCCAAGTATTGCAACATCCACTATCCAGATTGTTTTGTTTCTCTTATCAAAAATTGTTCAGTCTGGGGTGTTATGTGGCAGGTGCTTTCTGTTTGAATTCTAAAATCCCAGAGCACTTTAGCTTCTTCATTTTCTATGACTTTGTCTAGTTTGTGGTCCAGTTCTTCCTTGCAGGCAAATGGTATTTCTTGCAAATATTCCAGTGCACCATTGTTGCTATTTTGTCATGCCATTGCTTGTAGTCAGTCTGTGTGATCTTCTTGCAGTAGCTAACTATGCAACACACTATTTCTTTAACTTCTTTGCAGAGGCAGCATTTGCTATCTGTTGCTGTCATCTCAATTCTGGCTTTGTATGTATTTGTTCTGAAGCTTTGGTCTTGTGCAGGCAGAATTAGTCCCTCTGTTTCTTTCTTAATCTTTACTTCTCTTAGCTGTTGCCAGATCTTGTTGTTATCTGCTTTGCCTGCTAGGTTTTGTGTGTTTGCTTATGTGTTTTTTATGTGTGTGTGTATTGCACTGGCCATGTAATATTTTGCCTTGCTGTGTCTCTTTTCCATTCTTCTGGCCTTTCTTGTCGACCAGTTTAGTCTCTCCAGTATTCAGTAAGCCTTCATGGTGTACTAGCTTCAGTGCATCTTCTTCATTGTCCTTCCAATGCTTTTTTTCTTCTTCTTCAACTGTATGGTGCAGTTGCAACTTTCCGTGCCCACCTATGCTTCTTGGTAAGTAGGGTTTGTCAACATTGCTGTGTGGATAAAGGATATGATTCATTATCATTATTTTTCTACTCTTCCTATCCAGAGTTAGTTTTGCCTCCACTTGCTTTTTATACCTTTTAAATCATTTCTTTACAGAAAGTGTAAATGAAAGCATTTTGTGTGTTCTAAATTATTGCCACTCCTTATTTTACATATAAATTAATAAGTTTTAATACTTCCTAAACTTTCCTTTTCTCCTGGAATCAGTGAGATTTCTGAATACCTCCATCCCCATTAAATAAATGTCCCACCACTCTCCCTCCCTCTGATCTATATAGTTAAAAATATTGGGCAAAAATTTCCAAAAAAAGTTTGCTCTAAAATTGAGCGAAGAGCACTTAGATTTTATGATAAAGTGTGAGCCTCAGAACAGCAAACCAAGAGGGGCAAATTGACTGGATTCACTGTGGATATGGAAAAATCGTGAGGTGAAAGCAACAAAAAAAGCATTGGACTCTCAAAAGTGGCTGGCCAACTGTAAAACTGCTTTAATTGGCAGCCGAAAAAGAATAGGTTTGGGAACACAGTTCTTCAAGCAACAAAACATGGAAAAATAATTGCAAATGTTGTAGTAAAACTAATTCTATGAGGTTGAGGTCTGAGCCCGTTTGTCTCCTGTAACATCAAGATAATTTAAACTAAGGAGTTACTTGTTCTTGGTGCCACCAATTGCTCAGATGTGTTTTCATACACACTGCAATAAACTGATTCAAAAGAGACACATGCTAGAAAATTGTGATTTGTTACAAGGAGTAAACATCAGTGATCACCCTGGATGAGGAAGTATATGATAAATGCCCATTGAACTAAATTAATTCAAAAAGGCTTGATTCATATGGGTTATTTTCTGGCTTTCATTGAAATGCCAGTGAAATGCTCAACAAATGTGCAAGATTTAAACAATTTAAGTGTTATCACTGAAAAATCAAGAATTGAATGTGACTAGTCAAATGCCCAGCATATGTTGTTTTCAATTTGTTTATATGGCAAATGATTATTAAATCTACATTATTTACTTGAATACTATCATTTTGTTATGGTATCATTTTGTGTATGTTTAAGATAAGATTTTCCAGTTCTGAATACTATACAAAAGACAGTGCATTCTTGTACTTTTATTTCAATATAGGTATCATACATATCATGAAAAAAATTCTTTGTAATATTATTAGAATGGAATGAATGACAAAAACCGAGACTGTCACTGTGTATAAAATCTGTAAAAAAAAAAAAGGCACAGAAAATTCTGACATCTGTTGATCTGTTTATAGCTGTGGAAAGATTATTCATTTTAATTCTTGTTTAAAATGCCATATGAAGGAAAAGGCATTTGTGCAAACAAGAGTCATATTTGCATTGTAGATCATGTCTCTGCCATCTGTGAGAGCTGTTGGTGTTGCAGTATTAATGTGTTAATGAAATCATAATAATTTCTCTGAAGTAATGGATTCCGAAACCTAGAATGTCTAATTTTTTTGAACTTTGGTTTCTAGTGGTTTACAACTGGGAAAACCTTTCACAGCTTAATTAGTTCTGGAACCATAATTTATTTATTTTTTAAAAAAAATTGGCAGTATCTTTACCCCACAAAATAGTAGGACAGAAAGTAACTTGTATTTGGTACAGAAAGACTATCATCATAGTAAGAGGTTTTGTCTTATTTTTTGAAAATTGGTTATGTCAATTTTTGTCTGCCAAAAGTATATTCAAAAATGACTAGTTGAAAAAGCATGGGCAAACAGCTTGGATAATCTTTCCAGCTTGTTAAAATATCACAGTTTCTGAATACTTGAAATTCATCCAGGTTATATTATTATTTTCTACTTCATAATTAGAACTCAAATTTAATGCTATATGATAGTTTTGCTTTTTTGGATACAATGTAATACTATCCCACCGTTGTTATTTATGGCACTTTAGTAATTTAAAATGTCAGGTTGCATTCTTGTACCATAGATGAGTTGCTTTCAGTTTTCAAAACTCATGGGGTCTTTTCCAAGTGTTCCTTGATCTTATTTTTATAAATAGAGTTCAATTTGTCAGTCAAAATCCACATGACCAATTCAACTGTGCTTATGCATAAATACCATAATCTGAACCAAGGCCTATTATAGTCACTGATCTTAAGCTTCTTAATGTTATATTGGACTCTGACTATGCTTTATAATAAAATCTCCAAATTTATATGATGTTTCAAAGTACAATTCTATACATGTTTACTCAAAAGTCTCAGTATGCTCAATGAAATTTACGTTCAGCTCATTTTATTTAATACTTTTAATATTTTTGAAGAAGTAGGGCAAATCCAAACAAAAATCGCATGTGTTATTACATCTATGTTGTAGATGTGGGGAGAAACCCTGAGCCTGCAATCCTGCTTGTAGTTAATAAGCATTAAATCCTCTTGAATGGAATAGTTTCCTTAGAGCAAACCAATATAGGGTAGTTTTTTCTTAGTTCATGGCAGAGATAAAATCTGATGTGAGGATCTTCTGATTGATAAGACAGTCACTTTATATTTAGTAGTACTTCAGTCCCACTAAATATACTACCTTATGCTTTAATTTAAGGATCTTTTAAAATCTTTTTACAATCCTGTTCCTTTTCCAGAACATCATTTAGATGTGAATGTAGACATAAACACACATACTTGCACAGTACTATTATTTTCATTTTTTAAAGGTTTTCAGCACTATAGGTGACAACTAGATTAAATATTATAAAAGTAAGTTGTGTGAAGGCATGTGTGTCTGTGTATATCTATATATCTCTATATACTTATATATATATAACATCTATCTATCTATCTATCTATCTATCTATCTCTAGATAGATAGATAGATAGATAGATAGATAGATAGATAGATAGATAGATAGATACAGATCAATTATATTTTGGTGTCATGGCATGCAAGTTTCATGAAATATATTTTTTCTGAATAATTCAGATGTTTAAAAATCAGTTATCAAAAGTAAAAAAAATACTTTTAATGCAAATGACATTATAAAAAAGAAATCACTTTTTTCTTACCTGTTTTGATTTTGTTACTGTGTTGTAGGTGTGTGACTGGTGTAAGCACATAAGACACACAAAAGAGTATCTGGATTTTGGGGACGGGGAAAGAAGGCTTCAATTCTGCAGTGCAAAATGTCTCAATCAGTACAAAATGGACATTTTCTACAAAGAGACACAGGCCAATCTTCCAGCTGGACTCTGCAGCACATTACATCCTCCAGTAGAAAATAAAGCAGAAGGCACTGGGGTGCAGCTGCTGACTCCAGATTCTTGGAATATATCGCTAGCAGATGCTCGGAGAAAGGCCCCATCCCCAGTGTCTGCAGCTGGCCAAATTCAAGGTCCTGGACCATCCACGTCTACCACTGCCTCTCCGTCTGATATTGCCAACTGCTCTGTCACTAAAATCCCAACACCGGTTCCCAAACCTATTCCCCTCAATGAGAATCCAAATATTCCACCAGTTTCTGTTCAGCCACCTGCTGGTATTGTGCCTCCAATTGGTGTCCCACCTCGAAGTCCACCCATGGTGATGACAAACCGTGGACCAGTTCCCTTGCCCATATTCATGGAACAGCAAATTCTGCAGCAGATTCGTCCACCGTTTATTCGAGGGCCGCCTCATCATGCATCGAATCCAAATAGCCCTCTGTCCAATCCAATGATTCCTGGAATTGGCCCACCACCAGGTGGTCCTAGAAATATGGGACCCACTTCCAGCCCAATGCATAGGCCAATGCTGTCCCCTCATATCCATCCTCCAACGACTCCAACCATGCCTGGAAATCCTCCAGGCTTACTACCCCCTCCACCTCCAGGAGTTCCTTTGCCCAGCCTGCCTTTCCCTCCTGTAAGCATGATGCCAAATGGTCCTATGCCCATGCCACAGATGATGAACTTTGGTTTGCCATCTCTTGCCCCATTAGTGCCACCACCAACCCTTTTAGTGCCATATCCTGTTATCGTTCCACTTCCTGTCCCAATTCCAATCCCAATCCCCATTCCTCACATCAATGATTCCAAGCCCCCAAATGGCTTCTCGAGCAATGGGGAAAGCTTCATTCCAAATACTCCCAGTGACACAACAGGGGCTAAGCCAACAAGTAACTCTGTGTCCCCCAGGAATTCTAAACAAGGCTCTTCTAAGCCTTCTGATTCCTCACCAAGCTGCTCAGGCCAGTCCTTAAATCAAACGCAAGTGCATCAGCAGCACAGTAAAAGTGACGTTGTTGATTTGACTGTGAGACCAAGTAGTCCTGTGAACAACAAGTTTGGTTTTCCTACAGTACTACAGGGACCACAGGATGGTGTGATAGACTTAACTGTAGGTCACAGGTCTAGACTACACAATGTTATCCACAGGGCTTTGCACGCTGAAGTCAAAGTTGAACACGAAGCTAGCAGTGTTGTAAATCTGGCTTTGGGTAGCTCAGATAAAAGGAACTGCAGTGACTGCAGAAAAAATTGCAGCCCCACTGAAACAAAGACATTACCTGGTGGTGATCCACCTCGCTGCGGCTCCCTCCCAGCTGCCTCTGGCACTCCAGAAAACGCTGCAGCTGCAGCCTGCAATGTCATTGTGAATGGCACAAAAGGCCCCGAGATTTCTAAGAACTCCGAAACACCCCAAGAGCAAAAAAAGACTCAGCTTCAATCTTGTTTGCTGGAGGAACTGCCAGTGAGTGAGCTGGAATCCGTTAAGGAGAATAACTGTACGTCAAACTGTCGCCGGGAAGGAGAGTCTGGTAAGAAGACAGGGGAAGAATCTCTGTTTGGGGGAGACAAACAAGACCCCAACCTTAACAATCCGGCTGATGAGGATCATGCATATGCTTTGCGGATGCTACCCAAAGCAGGCTGCGTCATCCAGCCTGTACCCAGACCAGCGGAAAAGACTGCAATTGGACCCTGCATTATTTCAACGCCAATTCTCAGCACAGGGCCAGAGGATCTAGAGCCACCACTGAAAAGGAGGTGTCTCCGAATTCGAAATCAGAATAAGTAAAGGTTCGTGTAATCCCTAAAGTCTTCTGTGTGGGTAGAATTGATACCGATATGTTCAGGTAGGCTAACGACATAAGGAGGTTGCCGTTTGAGAAACGGGGGAAAAGATTCAAGTTAATCAACTCATTCCCTTAAATTCATTACATGTGTCTTGTGTTTGTCATGCAACATTTTTTGTACTTGTTTTACACACATCAGCAGTGTCTGTTTCTTTATCTCATGGAGTATTCTGTTACAACTCTGGCAAAGAAATGTTAGTGAGATATCTAGGATAACTAAAAAGCTCTTTGCAATGTTAGTTTTTTAAGATTAGGAAATCAATCTGGTCTCCAGGGCTAAGTCATCTGTAAAACGGCAATTTGGGACTTGTGGGTTCAATTATCACCATACATTTTAAGATAATTTTAGGAAGAATAATTCTAAAACTTGGAATTACGTGAAATGTAAAAGCATGCTTTTTAACCTTTATCAAATACTTTCTGAAACGTACCATTTTTAAAGTAGCCGAATAACACTTTCATGACTTTCCACAAGCTTTGTTTGAGTGGAGATAAAAGTGCAGATGCTGCTTATTAGTTTGATTCTTAACTATTGAATCACAGTGCAGTGGGATCACTTCTCCATAACATTTTCTATTTTCTCTGCCTTTAAAAAACATATTTATGCCAATATAATATGCACTTTTAATGTTCTTTGGCTAGGGCAACCTAGTGTACAAAGAACAACATTTTTTAAAGCACGAAAGAGCCTTTTAAAACATAGAATTGTCAAAATCTTACATCTATGTATCAAAGCTGTTAATAATGTTGATAATCTTGCTTGGGGCTCATACAGCTATGGAATTGGTTAGAACCTTGAATAGCCTCCTTTTAATTACTTTTAACATTGAATTTTTAATCATCTTTGCCTATTTTTAATTTTATATACACTTTTATGTTTTAAAATTTTATTTGTATACCACCCAGAGGCCCTCTGTGAGGGACCTGGGCAGTTTATAAATTTGTTAAATAAATAAATAAATAATATTCTGAAGGTATACCTGATATGAGAGATATACACTGAGTTTCTGCTTTCTGTCTATGCTTGCAGAGCAGGTACAGGCTTCTGACATTTCAATACACTGTTTTGTTTCAGTGATGCTATACTGAGGGCTTTCCCCATTAGCATCTAGCCATAGCATGACCGATCCCTAAGATCATCTTTTTCTCTTCATGATATTGCCTTAATCTCACTCCATGAGTTGTTCTTATTTTTTTCTAGAGTTAAAGTAGCGCTTCCTCTTCGAGCAGGCAATATGTTGCAGCAGACGAGTGGTGGTGAAGGGAAGGCTGCCTAATAAAGCAGAAGAAAGATTGCTGGCTGTAGGTCTAGTTTCAGGTGCAACATTTCTGTACGGTCAAAATATTTTTGAGTGTAAGTTTACCACTCTTCTAAACTAATAATGCTATTCTAGAACAGGATTTAAAACATTCTCTTTAAGACAGGGGTCCCCAGTCTGTGGGCCGCAGCCCACTACTGGGCCATGAGGGGATTACAACTGGGCCACGGAAACTGCGGGTGAGCACACATAAACATGCATCCTCACTTGTGAGAACAGAAGGTGAGTGCGTGCACATGCACTCCATTTGCACGAGGGGCAGGTGCGCATGCACGCCGCTCACGCAAACAGACCCGCGTGCTTGCAGGCCGCTTGCATGGAACCATCCCCTCTCCCCTCTGCCGGTCCACAAAGCCGGGAACATTGAGGAACTCTGCTTTAAGGTACCCCCACAAAGCACTTTTGTGAGTGTGAGCTTTGACCAAGACAGACCAGAACTGAACTGATCTGTCTAGCCATCTGTCAAAACTTACCTTATCTGCCAGCCCCAACCCATAGGAAGTGAAGGTTTTCTCACTGGGTGGTAACATTCAGTGGATGGGTGGAAAACATAGCCAGGGGAATCCACCAATCTCTATCCCAAATGTACCTTGTATAGCACCTTTGCTGATATCGTGCTATGGCAGGAAAGGGTTTGTGGGGGGGGGAGGAGCACAATTTTTAAACTGGAATAGTTTTCTACCACGGTAGCTAGCGCTTTAATTCAGCTATGAGGAAGAATTCTTGCGTTAACCTATATATAATGCACTAGACAGGCTGGAATACACAGATTCCAACAGGCATTCCTATAAATATACTAAGGATCTTTCCATGTAATTGTTTTTATACAGTTAAGTATTTCTTGTCAACATTCTGCAAATTATTCTGTTACCCATATTACAAAGTTTGCAGTACTTTAGAAGCAGAACATTTTGTATTTCAGGAAATGCCATAATTCCTACGTGTTCATTTATTTCTGCTGTGATTGTTAAGTGTCATGTTGTTATTAAAACTTCACGGATTATTAAACAGAGGTAATAATGATGAATGTTATTTAACTGATATTTGCATCCTTGCCAATTAAAAAAAATAGGAATTAATTCAGTCTCTTTTGAGGGAGAGATGGGTGGCTATTGATAAATGAACAAAGAAATAAACAAATTGAATTTTTAACTAACAATAAATAATAACAAACTACTTTAAAACAATTATTCCATTTTCTGTCTGGTTCCACAGCAAAAAGTGGGCACCATTATCAATCATGCCTCATCTTCTAATATAAATTATTACTTCTATTGGTTGTTCATACTGAGACTAGGCTAGAGGAGAGGGTTTAATATTTTTGATTAATATCATCTGTACTTTTCAAACTATTTAGGTGAGGTGGATAAATAGGCAGGTGAGGTGGATAAATAATTAGATTGATTCCATGTACTAGTTTTCTGATCTAAATGCACTTCACACCAGAGCACTGTTTGCAAGAAGAAATTTTTATATCGGAAGTATCAGGCAACTTCTGAATCATAATAAATTTAATAAATAGAATAAAATAAGACATAGATGAAAATAATTAAATTCAAACCCCTCTCCCATCCAAATCCCATTTTTAATTCTGCAGCTATATTACATGTCTCTCTATATCAGGGGTGTCAAACTCAATTTCGCTGAGAGCCGCATCAGAGTTGACCGCGGGAGCATGGGTGGGGTGGGCATAGTGGGGGTAGGCGTGGCCAGCTCAACATCACTCATGTCGGAGCTGCTGCTGGATCCATTGTCTCCAACAGAGGAAGGCAAGACCAGGGCGAGCACCATACGTCCACCAGAGGAGCCTTGCTGTCCCTCTAAGCCCATGAGGAGGACCCCCAGTGATGCAGGCTTCCCAGAGCCCTGGGCAGTGGAGGACAATTGCCCAGTTCAGCCTTTCCCAAGGGTCACCCAGCTGCGTTTATCTCCTCCTCAAGGCTGCTGCTGATTGGCTCTTTCTCGGTGAAGTTGCTCATGGTATGTACGGGAGGGCAAAATGTGTGGGTCAGAGGGAGGCCCACTCCCTCTCCCCATGAGGAGACCCGGCTTTGTAACCAAAGCATCCTCAGCGATAGGATGGGAGACCACCGGGAGAGGTCAGAAGGAGGGGACATGGGGATGGTGAAAGGGCAGCAAGGCTGCTCGTGGCCAAGTGCTAAAGCAGGACTTCCCTCAGACCCTCCCTCCCTCTCATAATCTCCTTCCTTCCTTCCTCCCTCCCTCCCTCCCTCCCTCCCTTCCTTCCTTCCTTCTTTCCTTCCTTCCTTTCCCCTTTTTCTTCTTTTTCCTTCCCTCTTCATTCTCCTTCTTCCTTCCCCTCTTTCCTTCTTTTTGTTTGTCTTTCCCTTTCTTCTTTCTTGCCCCTTCTTGGATGCTCAAATGCAAAAGGGGAAATATTTCTCGATGCCTCCTTGCCTTGTGATCAAATGCCACTTTTGCTAGTAGTCTGTGGCCATTTAAAGGACTGAGAACAAATCAGGCTCAGTTTATCCCATGCTTGTAATTAATGGGGGCATCCACAAACAACAGTACAGCAAAACTGTCAAAATGGTGGCTGTGATAGTTGATCAGAGCTCCTCTGTTTTTTATGTGCAACAGCTTTAGCATTTAGGAACAGAGGTAAGTTAGTTGCTTTTCTATTAATACATAATCCTTAAAAGGGCTCTCCCGTAGGGACCCTGCCATGGTCTAATTCAGACTGGAAGTATAGCAAAGGAAACATTTTTCCCCACTCTTCTTTGTCCTGTTTTCCCCCACTGGAAATGGCTGTTTGCAACATACAAGAAGGGGATACTTTCCTAAGTGATCACAATTTAAGAATACCAATGTTAATTTGGATTGCCAACAAAGTCCTGTCTGTGACAAAAGAGAATCCAAAATTGCTTTCTCCTTTGAGCCCAAGTCTCAATGGATCCAGGATTGAAGCAGAACTGCATGAACTGGGGCATCTCCAACCAAGTTGCCTCTCCTTCCTTTCTTCCTCTTTCCTTCCTTCACTGTCTCCTTCCTTCTCATTTCCATCTCCTTCCTTGCTTCCTTCCTCCTCTGCTTCTCATTCCCATCTCTTTCCTTCCTCCGTGCTCAGGAAGGAATGACAGGAGGGGGAGAGATTACCATCGCTGCCGGTGGCCATGCTGCCATTGGCCGTTGCTATCTCATATGGGTGGGGCCATGGCTGCGAGGCTAGGTCAGTGAGAGGGCCATGGAGGTGCTGGTGGGAGGGGTGTGTGGCGCTAATCTACAACCTGGTTACATCACTCAAAGCCAGAACATGCTCCACGAGGCAGCCCTGGACAAAGTGAGGGGCCGCCCCGCCACCTCTGCCCCCCCGTGTGTGCGCATAGGAGGTGATAAGCGCTGGGGTCCTGGGTAAAGTCAGCCCCCAGTGCAAGACATCCAGCAGAGATGCCAGACTTCACCCACTCGCCGCCTCCTGCACACACACCCAGGGGTGGGGTGGGGGTGCCCGTCACTGGTTCCAGGGCTGCCCCGTGGATCTAAGGCTAAGCGCCTTCTGGCTTTGATGGATACAACCAGGTTGTAGATCAGTGCCCGGTCGGCCTAGGTCAGGCCAAGTGCCGTGGGCCGGTCCTTCGCTGTTTCCAGAGCAACTGTTTCCAGA